AAGTAAGGTTTTGAATAAAGGACTTTTACTTGTAGTGGAGTATTTTCACAGTGTGGCATTAGTACTTTTATCTAAGTTAAGGTTCTGAGTACTTCTACCACCACTGACTGAAACTGAAACAACATGCAAACAACTTTTCGTTTTCAGCTGTGAGCCATGCTTTGTTGCATTATATAAAACCATCAGCAGAACAGAAGGAACATGCAGTGTCTTGGGAACATTCAGTTCATGTTGTTGATCAAATTCTGCTTCATGTTGGTAAGCTCACAGAGAGCATCATGATTTATGGCCTCATGCTGTGTCAGCAGAGAAAATCGTCTCAGCAGCACAAACACAGAGTCAGGTTTGCTACCATATTATTACCAACAGTGGAAGAAGTCATCAGATGTTTCAGCTGAGTAAAAGTAGTACCACCACCACAGTGTGGAAATACTCTGTTCATGTATTTAAATTTTTACCAAAGTGTTAGCATCTAAATATATAATATAACAGTAAAGTACTCATTATGCAGAATGTCCAGCTTTACAATAATATATATGATAAGATGCCCGAACCACCTTAACTGACCCCTTTCGATGTGAAGGAGCAGCGGCTCTACTTCCAGCTCCCTCGAGATGTCTGAGCTCTTCACCCTATCTCTAAGGCTGAGCACAGCCACGCCACAGAGGAAACGCATTTCTGCCGCTTATAACTGCGATCTCATTCTTTCAGTCACTACTCAGAGCACATGACCATAGGTGAGGGTTGGGACGTAGATGGACCAGTAAATCAAAAGCTGCCTTCCAGCTCAGCTCCCTCTTCACCAGGACGGTCCAGTACAGCTCCTGCATCACTGCAGAAGCCGCGCTAAGCTACCGATCCATCTCATGCTCCCTTCTACCCTCATTCGTGAACAAAACCTGGACATACTCCCTCACTTGAGGCAGTAACTCTCCCCCCAACCTGGAGGGGGCAAACTACCGGTTTCCTTCAAAGAACCATGGCCTCAGATTTGGAGGTGCCGACTCTCACCCCGACCACTTCACACTCGGCTGCAAACTGAACAGAACCACATCATCTGCAAAAAGCAGAGATACAATTCTGAGGTCCCCAAACTGGACCCCTTCCTCCCCCCGGCTGCGCCTCAAGATCCTGTCCATGAATATCACAAACAGGATCGGTGATAAGGGACAGCCCTGGCAGAGGCCAACACCCACCAAGAGTGTGTTTGACTTTATGCAGAGTATGCGGACACTGCTCTCACTTTGGTCATACACCATTCACCTTCGCTACATGTTTGGGTTTACCAGATTCTGTCTGTCAGCATCCCCCGCTATCTCATCCAATTCACCACCAGGTGAGTGTCCTGAGTGTTCAAGACATGCAGCAGCAGATCTGATGAAACGACCACAAAGTCGATCATTGATCTTTGGCCTAGAGTGTTCTGGTACTAAGTACACATATGAACCTTCCTGTGCTCGAACATGGTGTTTGTTATGGCCCATCCATGACTCGCACACAAGTCCTATAACAAAAAACCCCTGGGGTTCAGGTCAGGCAGGCTGTTCCTCCCAGTCAGCCCCCTCCAGGTTATTCCATCATTGCCTATTGTGATTGAAGTCTCCCAGAAGAATTATGGAATCCCCCACTGGCACCCCTTCCAGGACACGACCCAGAGACTCTGTACTGCTACTCGATGCGTGTGCACAAAAAACAGTCGGAGACCTTCTCTCAGCGACCGACAGTCCCGTCGAGGCAACGCTCTCGTTCTCTGGGGAGAATCCAACACAGCAGCGCAAAGCCGGGGGCTCGTGAGTATTACCACACCAGCCTGGGCAAGAACCAGTGCTTCGCATGGAGGGTAGCCCAACTATATCTAGTTGGTACCGCTTAACCTCCCGCACCAGCTCCTTCCCCACCAGAGAGGTGGCATTCCACGTCCCCAGAGCCAGTCCGTGATGCCAGGGATCAGCACGCTCGGGGCCCCGCTGTCCCTGCAGGTGGTGGGCCCACAGGGCAACAGCTCTATGTTTTTTTTTTGGACTGGGCGTGAGCGGGCCCCACGGCTCCTTCCACAGCTCAGCGATATACCCAGTTCGGGTTAGCAGTTCTCCTTCTCTGCTGAGCACAGCCTAAGACAAGCCCTGTTTTCCCTTCCTGAGATGCCTAACGGTTTGCCAGAGCTTCCTTAAGGCCAGATGGAGAGATGGGTCTCTATGGAGAAGGACTAATGATGTATTATTATAGATTAAACTACCCAGCAGCAGTGTTTAATGTAATGAAAATTAGCTCCACCTTCACCAACTGCAAAATTTAAGTCATGAACACATTAAGTCATCAATCATCATAATCCAGTAATATGTATTAATTTAAAATGGGCCACTCTGCATGATGAGTACTTTTACTTTTGGTCCTATAAGTTTATTTTGATGCTAATACTTTTGTACTTTTAGTTACAATTTTAAATGCAGGACTTGCAACAGAGTATTTTTACAGTATAATATTATACTTTACTCATGTAAGCATCTGAGTACTTCTTGTGCCACTGAACATCAGTCACAAAAACAGAGCAGCTGAACATTGGTTGTATTTACTCTCCCCTTGGCCTTCTTGCTGGTGGTGAATATGTAAACACGGTGGTGGGAGAAACACTGAGATCAGTGAGTGCAGCTGTAATTGCTATGCTGAACATGCAGTGATGCTCAGCTGCACTTAGCTGTTTTCCTCCCCTCAGTTTCTTTATATCTGAGCAGACTTGAGTTTATTTGTCGGGCTAACATTGGAAAGACAATTTCATCTTCCTCTCTGGTATGAGTCTGTAAAAACACGTGTGATGTCCACGTCTGCAGTCAGTTGGAATTTTTTTACTCGGCTGCATGAGAGGAGATGATGTATAGATATATTTTTTAACTGTAACATTAAATCAGATCAGCACCTCGGTGGGTGTGTTATGTAATTCAACTTCCAGCGAGGTTTTGGAGGCAGACACTGCTCATTACAGCCGAGCCAGAAACATGCCTCAGTGGTTTTACAGCTTTGTGGGGCATTGTGAGTTTATTGGGGCATAATTATGTGACCGACTTACAGTGAAGCTCAAACTAATGCGCAAAATGATCTGAATCTGATCTTGTAGTCTATTGTCATTGTGTTCTCTGTGAAAAGGCTGAAGCAGGCATGTATATCTTGATAAGAGCTGATGTCTTGGCTTTAAATCTGCAGTTTGATCAGTTAAAATGACTTGGCATTAAATATTATCAGGAAAATGTACATGATTATTTAAACTAAAAGTACTCAATGCAGAAACATGTCCCTTGTAAATGTTATACTATTATACTGTATATTATATTATTAGATTATTAATGCATTAATGTAGAAGCAGGATTTTACTGTTGTATTTGGTTGAGTTGGAGCTCATTATCAACTATTAGTTTATGATTATTTCTACTATAGATTATTCTGGAAATAGTGAGAAATGCTGTCACAATTCCCCAAAGTCCAAAGTTTAACCTTCACAGTGATTGTTGCTATGGCATTTTTTGGTGACTATGACTCAAAATTTTTTTTGTAATTATTTATCACACTTTGACCATTAATGATTTTTTCAGGATTAAAAAAAATAACAATAATAATAGTTATAAAAAAAATAATAATAATAAGATTTTTTTGACATACTATACTTTGGCTTTTTGACATTTTTTTTTGTTATAAATTACCATTGCATTTGACTCTTTAACTTTTTACGAGATACTTTACTACAACGTTAAGGACATTTTTATGACAAACTATAACATTTTAGGGAATTTTTTATGGTGTACTATACTGGGACTATTTAAGGATTTTTAAATGACTTTTTTTTTTTTACTTTTTAATGGCATACTACAACTTTTTTACGGACATTATTTTATGGTACACTATACTGAGACTATGATGACATACCATACTATAACTTTCTTAGACTTTTTTTTATAACATACTATGTTATAACTTAAAAAAAATGTGACATACCATACGATGACTTTGAGGAAATCTTTTCATGGCATACCATACTGTAACATTTAGGGAATTTTTTGATGGCATGCTATACTATGACTTTTTGGAAAATATTTTATGACATGCTATTTTACAATTTTTTATAATCTCATACTAAACTATTTTTTAAAATGACATATTTAACTTTTTTTGACAATTTTGATGCATGCTATGCTATGATTTTTTGACATTTTTTGATTTTATATAAGGATACTTTAATACAACTATTATGACATACTATACAACCAATTTTTGAAAAAAATAAAAAAATAAATAAAAATCTGATATAATATTTTTAGGATTTCTCCATGATATACCATACTATGACTTTTTGACATTTTTATGATACACTTTTGAATTTTCTAAACGTTTTTGTGACATACTATATTACATTTTTTTTTAGAAATATTAGTACGTACTTTAACTGTTTAAGGAAGTTTTATTACATCTACAACTTATTTAGGATTTTTTTTTAATGACATACTATACTATGGCTTTTTTAGGAATTTCTTTACCACATACTATATTGTGACTTTTTGACATTTTTGTGACATACAATATTTTTTAACAAATTTTTTATGACATACTATAGTATAGTATGTCATTAAATGTCAAAAATAACATTTTTTTCTAAAATTCATAGTATAGTAACTATACTTTACATTTACAGAATTTTATGAGATATACTACAACTTGTTTATGACATAATGTACTAAAAATTTTTGGACATTTCTGTGACAAACTATACACTATGACTTTTTAGACCTTTTTATAAGATACTTTACTACTACTTTTAGGATTTTTTTATGACATACTATACTGTAACTATGACACTTTCTGTGGCATACGTTATGATGACACTTTATGCTACATTTCAGCCTCCTATAGAGCACAAACTGTGTCTGCCGAAGGGTTGGGAAATGTCTGTTGACCGACCAACCAACCAACAGACTGCCCTATAGAGAGAGAGAGGAAAAAAAGAGAACACAGTGGACTTTTAATTATCGGGGTGTTTATTTCAACAAATGTTCACCACAGTAATAATCAGTTCATGCAATACTTCTGAAAAACATAAAAGAGAGATTTCCAAAACATTTTAATCCCGAAATGTTTTCTACATTCATCCATCTTGTCACATTTTCAGGGTTAAACCTTCTAATTATTTTAACAGCAAAAAATTTGAATAAAAAGTTGAGGGCAGGTTGTATCCCCAAATACTTCTTCAATTGGCATATTCAGTGTTAAGGATATTTTCTTGCCTATTATTCAGAGAAAAAAAGTCCAAATATCTCTTTAGTAATTATGTTAACTGTTTAATGAAAGGTACAATGTCAATTGTCTTTGTCAACCATGCAAGCAGGAAAATTAGGAATATTATTTATACTTTTCTATGCTTTCATCCCATTTGTTGTATTACCAAATACATAATTATTATTATTGTTATGTGATTTTCTCCTTAAAGAAATGGGCTGTGGGCGTATTTGGTTATGGTCCCAGTATACTGCAGTTTAATGGGAGGACAGTCTCGCTGACTGTTCAGTGCGCTTTCAGCCGCTCATAGTGTTGGTTGCTACTGTACAAGTGGGTTTAGGCATCACAGGCAAACATGAAAAAGGACATTTTAGGTGAGAAAGAACAGTCTGTGTATTTCTGCTTTTATGGGAGGTCACGACAACATGATGACAAACAGATAAAGAAAAGTAGGTCTGTGAAAGCCTCCTGCTTCTACAGTAGTTCATATTTCTAATAATTTTCATTTCTCAGAGAGAAAATTTAAAAAACAGGCTTCTGATCTCTCATTAAACAAATCATAATTATGTGTCTGATATAAATAAATAACTTAACTCCAAATTAAAAACAAATATACAAAAAAAAGACACTTTACAGAAACATATCTACCAAAACATGAAAATGTACACTACAATAAACACACAATAGTACCATCAACAAATCATATTTCTAAAAGCCTCTTTTTCTTCACAGATTATTTTTGCAGTGACTGGATTATTCCAAACATTTGAACATATTGCTTGTGGATTATTTATGTTTTTGTCTGCTCTTCTTTTCTTTACAGGTTGTCTGTTGAGTTCAGTTCAGTATCTTAAGTATAAACCACATACAGGAGGCTTGCGATCGTCCCTCTGCTCATTTCCTCAGAGCTCATCTTCATCAGAAATGAGTAAATCCGCAGTGAAGCTACAAGGTATGTCAGAGTGTTGATCCTGACGCTAAGCACCAGTCGCCACACTTTTCTCCTTCCTCTTTCTCACACTCGGAGAAAGCTTCCTCCTCAGCTCACACCAGCATCACACGTGAGCAGGCAGCCTGAAACACAGCATCCGCCGCCTCTACACGCAGATCTCAATGGGTGTCGCCACTAGCATGCGTCCTCTTTCGTTGTTTTCCCTGTTGGCGCGCTCGTAGCTGCCGGTGGAGGACGGCGAGCTGTTGGTGGACATGGAGGAGTAGTGGGTGTCCATCATGATGCTCCCCTTCGCCACCACACAAGCAGGTGACAAGCTCTGCTGCTTCAGTCTGTCCACTAATACATCCTCTTCAGATGAGGAGGAGCTGATGTCCAGAGGGGGCGCACTGCTCGCCAAGCTGCTGCTGTTCCCGTTCTCCGTGTCCAACATCCAGCACTGGTTGAAGTAGCTGAAGACTTCTTTGACAGAGCAGCGGCGCTCTTGCTCAATAGAGAGGAGTCTACGAAACATTCGTAGAGCTTCGTCAGTGAAGCGGCGCCACTGTGACGGCACTGAGCCTGTTCGGCGACGCTGCCAGCGCACAAACTCTTCGTAGAAGGCGTCGTTCGGCATGGCCTTCTCCCAGGGGAAGTTTCCTGTCAGCATGCAGAAGAGCAGCACGCCAAACGCCCACACGTCTGTGCTGTAGTCCACGCAGAAGCCCTCGTGCCTCGAGGTGTCGCACAGCTCAGGTGCCGTGTACGGGATCGTGCCGCTAACGCGCTTCACTGGAGAGCCAGCGCGCCGCGTCATGCCAAAGTCTGACAGCTTGACCTTTCGGCACTCTTTGTCAAAAATAAGGATGTTTTCGGGTTTGATGTCTCTGTGGACCAGCTTCTTACAGTGCAGGTAGTCCAGGGCGATGGCCACCTGGTGGACGCAGCGCTTGGCCACCGTCTCAGGTAGTCCCACCTAAAAAGAGAAGAACAAAGTAAAAGAAAAAACTCCAACACTGTTACAATGATGTCTGTCCACATACAGTATATATGCACACACCCGTCTACAACCTGTTCTTATTACGTAAATACTGCACTTTAGAGTTATAGTATTACATAAAAAATGTCAAGTCATAGAAAATTTTAAAAAGTCAGTAAAGTATGTTCAAAACGTAAAAAGTCTTGGTATAGCATGTCAAATTTGTAAAAACCATAGCATGTAAAAAATGTCATATTAAAGTATGACATAAAAAAGTTAATAGTATGTCAGTAATGTCAAAAATGTCAAAAAAGCCATACAATAGTGTGACATGTCACATATGTCAGGGAAGTCATAGTTTAGTATGTCACTAAAAAAGTCATAGTATTCTCGTATTCTGTGTCAAAAATGTTAAAAATGTCAAAAGTTAGTATAGCATGTCAAAATTGTCATAAAGTCATAGTTTAGTAAGTCATAAAAAGTCATAGTATATTGTGTCAAAAATGTCAATAGAGGTCATTCACACTGAGTCATTAATAATTACGTTAAAATTGTTTAAAAAAAAAGAGTCATAGTTTAATATGTAAAATATTAAAAAGTCCATGTTTAGTATGTCATAAAAAGTCATAGTATAACACTTCAAAAATGTCAAAAGTCAGAATAGTATGTGCTTAAAATAAAGCCAAAGTATTAAGCCATATTATTATTAAGCCATGGGCATACAAAAAGTATGCCGAATGAGCTTTTAGCACTTCCTGAATTAGCTTGATGCTTAAGAAATTTTTAAAAATGTGATAACTCTCAGGCAACATCTGGAGTTATAATGGGTGGTTTAGGGACATTTATTCACAATGGACATGGTGTCCCCAAAGAGTGTGAGTGTCACAAAAAAAAAATAAAAAAAAAAATTACACCTAACCATTTTTCTTACCTGTGGAGGGATGATGTCAAACAGATCTCCTGCCAGAGCGTACTCCTGAGCAAAGATGTAGTACTCGTCTGTTTCAAAGGCGATGCCGTACATGTTGATGATGAAGGGGCAGGGCGACAGGTAGAGGGAGATGCTGTACTCTCGCAGGAAGCTCTTCAGCTTGGTGGTCTTCTTCCTCAGAAACTTCAGGGCCATTTTTGTGCCTGGAAAAAGGAGGACAGACAAATGTTACATAACTCTATAAGTCTCATTTCCAGATTCTTCTTGTTCTTTTTCCAGCATATTAAAGTGTTTGGGGGATTTATTCACAGCCTCCTAATTGCGTGGATGGAACTTAATTAAAATCCAAATTTGATGAATAATTAAGATGTTCAGTGTCACTGAGCTAAATCCTGCTGTTTTTCACATCCTCTGCCAGACAAGTTATGTTCCCACAGAGTGACCACGAGGTTGATCTGCCTTCATGCAGAGCTAGAAAGTACAAATACCTAAAATCTGTACTTAAGTAAATGTTCTTTTCACCACTGCTTTTATGTTGTGCATTTTGTGATGTTTCTAGCTGTAAACATGTCCTCACAGAGAGCTGGGCATGAGATAAGATGTGAATAAATTCCCTTGATATAAGAAGGTAAAAGGATGCACAAAATGCATTTAGCTGTCTGGAGGGAACACGGTAAAGTTAATTTGTGAGGTTCGGAGGCTCAGCTCACCTCAGCAGACACTTAACTGCAACAAGAGGAGCAGCAAGGGGAGAGAAATCACCAGAGCTAATCTGAAATACCCCAGACAATATAAATCTGGAGAGCTGCCACCACGTCTGCCTCTCTCTGCACCAACAGTCAGTGTGTCAGCTAAGATGAGAGGGGACACTTCTCCAATACCACTGGATCAGCTCTGCAAAGTGCTTTGTGCAGTTTTTACAGTGTGTAGACACTTTAGAAAAGGTCAAGAGGGGGAAGGCTCTCGGTTTGGTCTTAATGCCATGATGCAAGAGGAGTTTCCTCCATGCTGACGCTCTGAAAATAAATAAGTAGATACAAGGCTTAGTGCAACTGAAACTCATTATTCTTTCATTTACTTCTATTTTATGCTGGTCTTGCACTTTTTTTAAGTACATTTACTCATGTTCTTTACTTCAGTACATTTTTGAGGTGCTTGAACTTTACTTCAGTCTTTCCTTTTCATGCTACTCTCTACTCCACCACATTTCAGAGGGAAATTATGATTGTTTTTTTCCATCAATACATTTATTTGACAGATGTAGTTACGTGTTGCTTTAACAAAGCTTCAAATTTTATAACTTCTTCATGTATTTGGTGTGCAAATTAATCTTTCCTTATTAAAACAATCAGTTGACTAATGGACAATCATCAAATTAATCTGAAAAATTTGAAAATAAGTCATAACCATCTAATATTCTAATATATAATAGTAACCTAGTCTCAGTTAAATGCACAGTCCCTTTTACTAGCCTGGTGTGGCTACACATCTTGACATATAAACGTCTCCATTAGAGGCCTGGTCTGGTTGCCAAGCAGTTCTTTTTTTTATGCTCTTTGGATGTATAAACCTGGGTTGCTGACTACCTCAAATTATGTGTCAATTCCTTGATTACCGTGTAATTTATTCATATTCCTTTAGTCCATACGGGTCCTCAGATCAAAAGAATTAAAATGTTTATTCATACAAATTATTTCAAGTTGTGAGTATTTTTTTAACAGGATAAAGTGGGGCTGTGTTGGTATGCAGGGTGTTGTACTCCTCTCTGAAGCCCTGTCTGTCTGAGTTAGATCAAATTAATTTGATATATTATCTATAGCCTAATTTCTATACAATATTCATACTGGTTTAAATAAACAATTTGATTGTATTTCCCATCTTAGTTGCACTTTTGTGTGAAAGCAATTAAAGGCCTGTCCCAGATAGACACCTGTTCATTTCAGTAGCCTGGGCTATTAATTGAAGTTTTATGGTAACAGTCACAGGGACATTTTTATACTTTCATTACCTTAAGTACATTTTCCTGATGATACTTACATACTTTTACTCAGGTAACATTTTTCAGTGCAGGACTTTTACATTGTGGTATTCATACTTTTACTTAAGTCATGGATCTGAATACACCAGTGCTCATTCCCACTATAACAAATATTTCTATTTGTACTATAATCTAAACTCAGTATTTATACTATAAACACTGCTTTATATATATTTTTGTATGTACACACTAGGCTTGGGCAAAATCTGTTTCTTTATACCTTACAGACATTTTCATACGCCATAGGGCGGTATTTGTGTGTGTATTGGTGCTATGTTTCTAATATGCAATTAGGCTACTTAGACAAGTGTTGCTAGGTTTAAATACTTCTGGCCCATAGAATAATGAATATTTAGGACATGCAGATGATGCTTACTGGTTGCAGCAGATACCGTCATATCAGCAGGCTGAATGGAGATGTTGAATAAAAATCATGTGGCTAATAAATTGCTTTTGTAGTTGGAATACGTCATTTCAAAATAAAGTTATATGTGGCGATACTGCCAAACAGTAGCAGAGGCATTTTTCTTTATTACTAGTCCTATAAAGTTATCCCCACCACCCACAGTCGCCATCTTTCTCAGCTCAAGCTGCCTGTTCCACCACTGGAGACTGACCTCTGGTGCCACGTGCTGTTCACAACAATACTTCGCCTCAATATCAGTTTAATAGAAAGAGAACCATCTGTATTTTTGACTGTATTGAAAATCATACCTTTGGGATTTCTAAATAGCCTGGTATTGTACACAGATACTGCAACTAGCCCAAAACACACATACTCACACCTTCATGTAAATGTAACTAGTATCTTCTTCTGATTCCATTAATAGGCAGCGACGTTTATGTAATAGCTCCCAAACACGCCGTGAAAGTTAGCATATCATCTCTAAATGTAGCAGACAGCTTCCTCCCTGCCCATGCAGCATCGTCTGATCTGCACAGCAGCCAACAAGCAGCAGCTTGTGCAACTTGTTGCTATAGTAGTTTCATGTTTACATGGAAAATGAGTTGCTTTGTTAAATCAGCCTGCTGGATAATATGCAAAGACAAACACCATCTGTTCAGAGGAACTCAGCTACAACTGTGAGGGTTTCAGGGCAGAAACTAAAGCTAAAGATAACCTACATTTCTAATCTGCCCCACTGACCTGTAATGTTACTGTATCAGCCCGTAACAACTCATAAACAAGGTTTTTATTTTACTTTGTGACAATTTAACAATGTTACTGCATCACTGTGAAACCACGACTTTTCTCTCATGTATTTAGATGGAAAGTATCAGATTAATTTCAAATTTTGGAACAGTAAATGGGCATTACTGATGGTTTACACTGAATGCAGAGACAAGATTTAAACTGGCATCTGCCCTGTTGAAGAGTCCTCGTGCAAGAAACTGAATCTCTGAGAGCTCCGTGCCGTCTGCTGACTGACCCCTGACTGATCCCCTCACTGTGGAGATTTTCATTACCTAATGGATTAAAATTGTAATTAAATAAACTGTTCAAACCTATAGTGATAATAAAAAAAATAACAAACTATTATTAATCATAGCCTTTAGGTTTTTTTGACGGGGATGAAATGTAACTAGGCACTTACTCAAGTATTTGTACTTTACTCGAGTATTTTCTTTAATGCTACTTTATGCTTCTACTCCACAACATTTCAGAGGCAAATATTGAACTTTTTACTGCACTACATTTATTTAACATCTGTAGTTACTAGTTTGTTCAACAAAGCATTTTATTTTATATCTTCTACATATATTTTGTATTTAAAAATCTTTCATTTTAATAGATTAAACATCCTAAAAATTCACTAAAGTGGAGCTGGAACAAGTAATCAGCTGAGAGAAAAATTAACTGTCATTTATTTAATTGTTGAAGTCATTTTACATGCATAAATAGCAAATATGTTATGGTTCTAGCTTCTAAAATATTTTCTTTTTAATTATTATTATGTTTTTCTAATAAGTCTTACTTTTTTTGCTGCTACTTTTACTTTGAATTCTACAACATACATCTAATACATTTACCTGATTATACTTTCTTACTTTTAGTTTTAAAGGTCCACTGTATAGGATTTAGGGGGGATATATCGGCAGAAATGGAATATAACATAATAAATATGATTTCTTTAGTGTATAATGACCCGACAATAAAAATCATTGTGTTTTCTTAACCTTAGAATCAGTCATTTATATCTACTTAGGGAGCAAGTCCATGAAAAACACAGACTTTTAATGTGAAACAGCTTTATTCAGTTATTGTACTGGTATAAATCACCGGGGCAATTTGTTTGGAGAGGAGAAGCTACCTTATTCTCGGTTTTTACCAGTTTTAATCACCTGGTCGGTTTGTTTTGGAGAGAAAGAGACCTTTGCATTCAACTAAGATGACAATTCAGCTCCCGGTAAAAACCCCCCTAAACAATGAACACTACAGGAATCTTAACCAGGAGAAGTTTCAGCTGGTTGCAATCTGCGATCCTCACCACTAGAGGCCGCTAAATCCCCCTGAATCTTAAACACTGTTCCTTTAAGTAACATTGTCAATGCAGGACTTGTAACTGTAATTCATTTTTTATGGTGTGGTATTAGTGCCTTTATTTAAGTGAAGGATCTGAATATTTCTACACAGGCACTCCTAAGCACAGACGTTATACCAAACACTAAATGACACTACAGAGATGCAGGTTATATTTTCTTAGAACATTATAGCAGAGCTCTTACCCCATTTTAAACTGTTGTACTAACGTGACTGTATTTTAATGAAATGTTACTGTATTTTAATGAAATGTTACTGTAGCATCAGTGTGCAGCTGTAATATGAAGGAAAATATGTACAAAATAAAATATTGGATTTGGTTGGCAGTTAATAAATATCAAAACACCATCAAGGCGTCCCTACTTCTCACTGAACTCTGTGACCAATTCACATTTGAGTTTCTTTCGTCACTGAGTGCATTTGCACACAATTGTGATTCAGAAAGGTCAGAAATTACGTGGCCTTCAGCCCATTTATTCTCATAGTTAACATGACATTTCCACTGACCAGCGTCACATGATTAAATCTCCACTGGCTCTCTAACAACTCTTGAGGGGACACTGGTGATAAAGTAGCAGATAATGAAACCATGGGCACGTGTTGTTGTTGTTGTTTTTTTTAATCCAACTGCACACTTTACAGACTGGAAAAGGTCAGAATTCATCTCTGTGACAGACTGCAGCCTCTCTAAAATGGCTTCTGTGCTCCATAAAAAGAGACGATTAAGAAGCTCGGAGCAGATGGGCAACACTTTGGGGCTTTTAATGTGAAAAGGTTGAACAGATTTTCCATAAGTTAAGTAGTGAATTGAGGCTGTCTGGATCCAGATCTGAGTTAAATTACTGCATGAAAAGGTGGCCTACATTACCTCGGATTTGGTTTGCAAAAGTAAACACTTCAGTGACGAATGAGAGTGCTTTACCTGATTGAGGGAGAAAACAGGATTATTGTTGATTCTCTCAGTGCATGCTGCTGCCGTGATACCAGAGTGAAGCATTTTAAAGCTGCACTGTTGTTATATAAAATGACCCTGTCTTATCGCTCTGAATCACAAAGTAAGGGCCACAGAAAGAGAGCAACATTCAATTTCCACCAACTGCAGCCTTGAAGATTTGCTCCCTCTGGACTAATACATTTCTGGAGGTGATGTCTTGTCCTCCCACAAGAGGTGATGAATTGAAACTTAAAATGCAGACCGTCTCCTGTTCCATCCTGAAGAAAGATGGACTCATTGATATTGGATCTTTCTATTTCCTTTTGGACTAAAGCATCAAACAGCAGCCAGATGGTGAAAAGTTTTTACCACTTGACAGCTTTAGTTACCTCGCAGATAATTAAGATTATTAAGCACAAAATATTAACCCACTGATAAATTATGATGTGTAACTATTGGTTATGCAACACAACAGTGTATTACCAGCTGCAAAATTAAAATGACAAACACATTAATGCATCAATAATTATTCTGAAATGGGGCATTCTGCATTTTACTTTTAGTAGTTTCAGTATATTTTGATGCTAATACTTTTGGATGTTTACTTAGGTAAAATTTTGAATGCAGCATTTTTATCCCTTCTCCTTCATCCTACATATTTGTCCCGCATTTTGATTGGCTCTAGCTTTCACAAGTCAAACCACTGCATGACAATCATGTCACAGGGTTGGAATGGATGTCAATCAAACTACGCGCACATGGGTCAAATATGCTACGCCCAATGGGGAAAATTGTGAGTCTCCACAAAGTCACAAAGTATGCGGAGACTGCGGGAATATAATGAAAACTACCACAAAGAGGAGGAAAGACAGAATAGAAATGTTTATGTTTTAAGTTAGACAGACATTATATCTAAGTTTTAGACTACCTCTCAGCATTGGTAATGTGTCCCACATTGTCCCACACAAACATAATTCTTTGTCCCATGTTTGGCTTGTTGGGATCTGGCTGCCTTCACTGCCTCTGCTAGCAGTTTAAAAAGCTCAGAAGTACAGTATTGGTGGTCAGTGTAGGTCAGGGGTCTGCAACCTTTACTATCAAAAGAGCCACTTTTGGCAAAACAAAAAGTCAAAAAATCTGTCTGAAGCTGCAATACATATTTGTGCCTTATAGTGACGGCAACCCAGCCTAGATGATCTACAGCTACTCTGCAGTGGACTATTCATGAATATTTCGTACTTAATCTTTGAAGCGTTTGTGATGAAAGCAAACAAATCTGTCCACTCACTTTGAAATTCTCTATTTTCCTCCAAGACATTTTCTTTTTTGGGATTTGGAATCAATAGCCAGCCTTACTAAAGAGACTCAAGCTTGGCCATCGCTATTGAGATTTGGCAAATTTCAGGAAAAGGTGCCAGGCCGTAGACGTATGACGCACATAGCTGACGAGATGTTAAAAACATTTTTTTTATTCAGTGTGTAGGCTTCACATTTATACAGCTGGAAAATGTAAGTATCACTTTAGGGTTACAACAATGATGAATTAAACTGAAATGTTGAAAAATAACAGTTATTCATTTCATTATAATATTTCATCAAAGCCACAGAGAATCACTGGAGAAGTGTTTACTGAACTGAACTGTACTGAAGCTGAAGTTACCGAGAACACGAGAGATACATTATTATTTCCCAACATTTCTATGAATTCATCATCAGCTGTTATTGTATATCTAGGCTTCTCTGAAAGTTTAGCAGAGGTTGAGATGCATATTTTGAATGTGTTGAAGCTGAAAACAGTGTTAAGCTGCTCTTTAAACACAAAGTATTGCTTTTATAACAACCCTACAAACAGCACTTGTGGAGAAAATCAAAGCTTGACGGACCTGCTTTGCCTCGCTTCAAAACACATGTAAATGTGGGAAACATCTAACATTTAGTATCAGCTCAAACTCTCTGCAGTTACCTCTGATTTTGTGGATGACCAGGTCCACTTTCCCATAGGTGCCCTTCCCCAGCTCACAGACGACCTCATAGTATTTGTTGATGTCCAGCTTTTCCAGGTTCTGTGCAGCAATCAGCTGGAGTTCCTCCAGGATGTCGATGGAGGCGCGGGAGCTGTGGGGCGAGGAGTTCATTGTTGTGGAGAGACGGGCCGGGGCCAAAGGTCTGGTGTGGAGACAGATGTTCCTGTAGGACAGGAGGAGCAGGAAGGAAAAGAAAAGGTTCACTATGAGACCTGTTGACTCCCCACTGTATACAGAGCACACCTACTGTATTGTATCTACACGTATATGAACAAGAATGCTTTGAGCTCAGGCCAACTGAACTGTTACACAACCTTTGAATCGTCACGTTGCGCTCAGGAGAAATTTATTTTTTCAAGATCACAGGGCTCCATCAGAAGGAGGGAGAACAGTCACAGTGTGACAATGCTAACATGCTGATGTCAAGCAAGTAGGCTATTATTACCGAGTTTACCATCTTAGTTAAATGCTATCATTCGCTGATTAGCACTAAACATAAAGTACAGTTAATGTCGATGGGAATGTCATTAGTTTTGCAGGTACTTTGTCATATACAAGTTATAATTTTGACCTAAAGATGAAGATAAATGAAAAATCAGAGCATCACCAGAGTTGTTACATTTAATCCAGAGGGGAACATGAATGTCTAACCACACTTCCTGGCAATCCATCCAATAGTTCTTGAGCTATTTTGTTCAAAACTAGGGATGTTACGATATATTTTTGATGCAAACTGAAAAGATCAATTCATCTAATCATATTTAAGTGATGCCTTTTTAAAAAAAAAAAATTCTCATGGCACATCTGTGTCCCGTTTTCCGTCCAAGCACATCTCCTTCCCAAACATTCAAACAGTGCAGCAGCTGAGCACCAGGCAGACAATGAAAAGCAACCAATAAAAAGACAATGAGGATAATTACCAATATCATCTCATATCACAGGCCCCTGAACTGAATCAAAATCTTACTGAAGCAGACCTTGTGATATCAACATAATATCGTATCATGATGAAACTTGTGACGTACACCGCTACTCAAAACCAAGAATGTCAAGCTCATGATGGTGCTACAGTTAGATAATCATCATAGTTATTACAAGTCATCCAGCAGGTGATCATGAATGTATAAACCAGCAACCTGCGAGGCTGAAAAATGAAGCTAACATGAAGTGCCAAAAACTGCAGTTCCTCAAACAACCACTTGAAGCTGGCTCCAAGACGGAGTCAACTGCCATATAACTTTATGTTAACATGCCCAACTTTACAGCAGAAATAAACATGTTTACAGCCTGCTTTAAAAAAATGGTTTTGGTCTCTATCTTGGTGAATTCTGGTGAATTGCTTTAACTTTAAAGTTAGTCATAATTAAGGGTGGGTTGCTTTAAATGACAGGCCATTTGCCGCTATTGTCCCCATCTTCTCAGTCAGATCCACCCCTCACTCCTCCACAGTGCCCACCTCTTGTCTCAATATGGTCACTTCTGGCTCCAAAAAACCAAGACGGCGACGGCTGAAAATCCAATGGCTGATGTCACAGTAGCTATGCCATTATTTTACACAATCTGTGGTCTAAACCAAAAATCATAGCAATACATAGTTGTTCAGATATTTTAGTCTGGACCAAAGTGGTGATATTTCTAACCCTAAAGCTAAAAAGCTTTTTAAGAGGAAGGGTTATCACTAGCTTGAATGCAAATTTAGATTTTTACAGTAAGTACAGTACAGTAAGTAGTAACTTCCTGCCCAAATTGGCTGCAACAGGAAGTGAATTCTTGGCTGTGAGTAGCCATTATTCTAACATGATCTGCTCATTAGCAGCACCAACCTGGACTCTTTTATGTGTGGTGTTTGCATGTTCTCTTTGCCCAAAGACACTAAACTGCTCTCACAGTAGGTGTGAACAGGGGAAGTGATATATCCTCTCGTAGACTGCCTGTCAGTCAATGCATGCAGTTATACACTGAGCTCTGAGCCAGGTAAAGAAATAAAATCAAGTGTGAACAAGTCAAATTGGATGTGAGAGGAGCTAAGTTTTGCTATTTGTGGAGCTGATCCTCTGCAGCTGATTAATGATTCTCCGGCGTTAATGAATGTCAAATTCTGATCCATGTGTTGCTACTCCGTCGCGCCTGCTGTCTTCCAATCTCAGCAAATCTGTCTCACCTTCCTCCTGCTACCACAAAAAGCCAAGCAACACTGCTGTATCCTCCATCGCTCATCACCCACAGCGGGCCAAGCTCACAGAATGACTGTAGAGACTTTGCAGCCCTGATGGCGCAGCACAATTGTACCATCTCTCATTAACAGGGATGAGAAAGTGTTGAAGGAGACAGGATGCTAGCCACATCCTGTGCATCAAGTCCATCTGTGCTCTTGTCTACACTGTGAGTGTGCAGGACAGTTAAATGTGTGCACAAAACGCAAGTGTAACGTGTGAAAACAATAAAACCAAACACAAAAATGACAGTATGTTCCGCTTGAAAGAACTGCAGTGACAATAAAACAGTGGTTATGTTATTCATGCTGAGAGAACAACTCAGATCTTTTTAAACAAAACTAGCAGTACTGTACCACAGTGTAGAAATACTGTGATAAGTAAAAGTGCTGCATTCAAAACTTTACTCAAGTCAAAGTACAAAAGTATTAGCATCAAAATATATTAAAAGTAGCAAAAGTATAGTACTTTAAGTATATTGTAGTATGGCCTATTTCAGAATAATGTATATTAGACATTACTGGATTATAATTATTGATGCATTAATATATACATCACTTTAATGTTGCAGCTTATTAAGGTGGAGCTATTTTTTATTATTTCATATACTGCTGGGTAGATGAATCTATAATGATGTAAAAAAAAAAATTTAATCTATAATAATACATCAAAGACGGAATTTTTGCTTAGTTTTCAGCGTGATCTAGATTGAAAATCTGCTGAATTTAGCAGAATTACTTTTGCTTGTAATATGATAGAGAATATTTATTTCAGAAAAAAGAAAATCTGCCGGGGTGTCATCAGAATTCTGCAGGTGCAGATTTTTTGCGGGCCTGGATGTATTACGATTAAATTCAGCCTGCCCTCGTTCCTACGGTTTTAAACAGTGAAGCTTTGCCAAACCCCTTGACGTGTGATATCAACGCCAAAGGCACCCTTTAATGTGTTTAAGATTGACCAGGCTTTTAACTAACTCAAAAGTAAACCCCTCTGCAGCAATATCTGACGCTGAAAGCAAGTGATGTATTATAAAGACAGAGAAAGTTTGAATGTCGCCGGAGAGACAGTGTGTGGTCTATGAGTCTACAAAACCATACATCAATCTAGCACTCCGCTGTTTGTATTATGTGACACAAATGTCAGTGTTGTTTTAACGTAAAGTTAATTTATATACCTATGTCCCGTGCAAAACCAAAAATCAATGTGACACACTTGTGACAAATTTACATCATGTTCCGTAAAAATGTACTGATTTAAACCCAAAACACGATGTTTTATCTAAACCTTACCAAGTCGTTATGTTCCCTAAACCTAACGTGACCGTTTCACAACCACATGTTTTTCATTTCATTTCATTTATTTATTTATATAGGAAAGGAATTAAAAGGTAACATTGTGTGTTACAGTTAAGACTGCTGACTAAGTTTTTTAGCAGGTTCCTGTTACGCAGGAACCTGCTAAAAATCAGGAAAAACAACAAGTCTTACAATGTGCTTTAGCTGTGCATCACATAGATACGCTAAAGGTGGCTCGGTGCATTGCTATGAGATGCTGGGGAGAGTGACAAAGGATATTTGACCATCTGGAAATGAGAACCTGTTGTGACATTTGGTATTAATGGACTAGGAACTAAAGCTTTAAAATACCTGTAGTGGAGTGAAAGGAACAATGTTTGCCTCCAGAATGTTTTGGAGTATAAGTATAAAGTAACACCAAATGGAAATACTCAAGTAGTGAAGTACAAGTACCTCAAAATCATACTTAGGTAAAGTACTTGCGTAAAAGACCTCTGTGAATTTCCACCATTGTTGACTTCCTAATTTAAACAACACTACTGTGGCCCCACCTTTCCTGTCTGTCTTGTCAATAAAGGCAAAAACACCAAAAACAAAACTATATTAAAAAAACAAAAACAAAAAAAACAACAACAGTATGCAATTCCTCCGCACCCTGCACTGGCTCCCAGTGGCTGATCAAATCCGCTTCAAGACACTGGTATTTGTCTATTGTGCAGCTCAGGTCCATCCTACATCCAGGACACAGTCAAACCATAAACCCCAGCCCGTCCACTCTGCTGCTGCCAGTCGGCTTGCTACTCCTTCAAGGCCTACTTAGTCCAGACTGTTTGCTTTTCTGGCACCTCAGCAGTGGTATGAACTCCCCACTGACATCAGAAAAGCAAAATCGCTACACATCTTCTGTTGCAGACTGAAAACTCATCTGCTCAGACTGCATCTTGGCCCATGAAATTTTTGCTTTAATTAAGAAAATCTTTATCTCTTATTGTCTCTAAATGTAGCACTTGCAGTAGATCAGCGTATTGGATGAAGCTGAAGTAATTGCTTTTTTCTTGCGCTTTTTACCCACACAGTTGAATGCACTTCTGGTAAGCTGCTTTGGATTAAAGTGTCAGCTAAACAAATGTAGTGTAATGAAATGTGACAATGTCAATTTGTTTGATTGCACTGTAAACAGATACACTGATTGGTCGTCTTTCTGACAGACTTGCTGCTCAGTGAGTGTTTGCTGTAGTATTAAACCGCAGCTGCTGTTACCAAGGTAACCACCGGTGTCACCAAAATCAAACAGGACTGAAATCCTTAATATCAAGACATTACTTTACCCTTCTTTGGGTAAGTTGACTGTACTGAAGATACAGAAATTAAAAACCAAATGGTCACAAATGCTTAAAAAAAAAAAAAAACATGAAAGGAAATTGGATGGTCTTGCATCGACAGTGGAGGGTGAAAATGGCTCCAGACACAAACAGTATGTGCTGAGCATAAAAGTACGACAAGCAGTTAAAAATGAGGAGTCAGCTGAACCCAGAGGAGCCAACTGGCTGTCCATCACCGGTCCACTCAGCATCCGTCTGACAAGGTCAATAAAACAAACACAGAGTGGGATGAGGCAGCCAGAGTGTGTTTGGAGCTGTAAACAGAAAAAGTAC